AAAAAAAACAATTAGCTGAGTGTAATGGCTCACACCTGTAGTCCCAGCTACTCAGGAAGCTGACTTGGGAGGATCACTTGAACCCAGGAATTAGAGGCTGCAGTGAGCCATGATTATACCACTGCCCTCCAACCTGGGTTGCAGAATGAGACCCTGGTGTTTAAAAAAAAAAAAAAAAAAAGAAAAGGTGGCCTTAGGTACTTTAGTCCAAGGTTAAACGTGTCTTAATCATTTTTCCTTTCTATCTCCCCTGATTGCCTTACTGTATAGTTTCTAGTAACTTCTAGTTGCTCTTTTGTTTCCTATTCTTTCTGTTAACTTGAAGGATATATGTGTCTTCTTTTTATGTATTCTTAAAGGATACTTAAAGAAGATTTTACATATATATGTTTTATTATCTACACCCTGCATTACTTGCCCTCTTGAAGAACAGATGATTTTAAATATTCTATGCTACAAAAGAAACTAATTTTTTATTCTTGAGGATTATATATAAGTAACTAGCAATAAATAGTTATCCACACATATATAAAGTCTGCAATTTACTGTGTATAAGTAAATTTAATTTTTGTTTCCCAAGATTTGTTTTTTTTAAATATCCTTGCTATATTTGTAGCTCAGAAATAATACCTTTTGCTTTAAATTGCATTTCTTTAGATGCCATTGAGGCTGAACTTTTTTTTCATTTATTCAATTGGGAGCTATCTATGTCAAGAATTGTGAAAAGTCTCAGATTTTTTCCTTAAATTCAAACTAACAAGTCGACTTTGACAATTGAAGAGATACTGTTAGAAGACATAGGACTCCTGGTTCAGAGACAAAGGACTGTTTATTTCCAACAGCAAGAACAGTAGCCAGCAAATCAGTATTTTACACTGGTTTCTTGAGCCATAGTTCCCACAGTTCCCTTGAGTCTTGCTTTGTTCCCCAGTCTGGTCTCGAACTTCCCACAGTTCCTAACAAAAGGGTACTTTTATACTTTTAAAAATTTAGTATTGTTGCAATATGGATGACTTTATCTACCAAACTATAACTTTCAAAAGATTCTATAAAGGAAAATTCCTAAAACTGAGTGAGAGGCAGAGAGCCAGGTGATACCTACACATACAACACTACAGGTGAGGATCACCGAGTTTAAGGAACCCAAATATTTTGTAAGGGACAGTAAACATACCTGCTCTTTGATCTGGAGGAAGAGACTATAGCTATACAAACATCCTGGTAAATGATACTACAGAACCCAGGGCAGAAATGACTCACTTGTAAGGCAAGCAGAAATGGGGAGACCCATGGAGAATTGTCTCCCAACAGCCTAATTATATCTTTTTTCCATATAACTCTCTGGGATCTCAGGGTTTTCTTTTTTTTTTTTTATTAGTTTATATTAGAATTTGGCGTAGTGATAAGGTTAATTCTGTTTTCCTTTTGCTCTGAATATCTTCCTGTTTTCTGTTTTAGAGATATACCTTTTAATTTATAGACATTTAAAATTTTGTCATTTAATTTTCCAACTTTTCATTTATGATTTCTTTTGGCATACTTCTTCCTCTATTTTTCTCCCCCTACACCTTTTCTATGTAACCTTATCCCACTTCTGCTTTCCTGCCTAAGATTGAAAACCTTTAGGAGAATGTGATATTATTTTATTTGAATAATTAACAATTATATTTTTAGTTTATATCTTCATATCTCCCTCACCTTTCTGTACCTTCCAGGACTCCTATCTTCACCATCTTCCTCTACATTTCTGAATTGTGCAAACCTTAGATACATCATAACATTCTGGCAGACTAGAGAGAGTTCTGGGAGAGGAAGTAAAGTGGTACATGTATTGCCATTTATAGTTGGCTTTCTTTTGGATCTACTTTTCCTAGAGCATAAACATATTTCTAAGCTCAAGCTAATGATTATTTCACTAAAAATTTAATTGGTAAAATTAATGTAAAATATTCATTTGTAAGAATTCTATATATCCTATACTTTAGTTATCATTTTAGAGGTTATTCAAAAGTAACTCATATACCTGTTTTGGTTATTCATTTTTAAATTGCTGTTTGATTTCTTTTTCAGGCAAATAGAAATTGCATAGCAATTGCTTCCAGCCATGATGTTCAAGAACTGGATGTTTCCGGAATTCTGGCTACACAAATCTATACTTGGGTAGATGATGACATAGAAATGGAAACAAAAGGGTACTTGTATACTTTTTTTTTTAAATTTAGAAATGTTGTAGTATGAATGGCTATATCCACTGAACTATAACTTTCAAAATACTCTGTAAAGGAATACTCCTAGATTATAAGCACAATGGAAGCTTATGTACTAAAGAGCAAACAGAGGGTGGGAAGAGCTTTAACAAAAGGAATTGAGAGTCAAAAAAGAGTATGTGAAAGGAATGAAAACTGTTCAGGTGTGAAGTCGTCTACGAGTTAGGAGTAAGCTGAATAAATTAATTTTAAAGAGAAGTAAAAATTCAAATATTAGAGCTTTCAAGTGTAAAAAACAAAGAATTGATATGTTGTTTTCATTCTAGTCAACATTCCTTTGTAGATCAGAAGATTTCTTGGTTATACATGCTCGTGATGATTTAACAGCTGTTCAGGGAACCACCCCATATACACATAGCAATCCTGGCACTCCAATCAACATGCCATGGCTTGGTAGTACACAGACAGGCAGAGGAGCATCTGTGGTATGTAAAGTTAAAAATATTTGTTTGTATATAACTATCTTATTTTTCCATCTAGGTTAATGGATAAAGGATGGTTTTAAAATTTTTTTAAATTACTGAATTTTTAGTAAGTCTTATAACCTGGAAATTAGAAATTTTGGTTATGAAGAATAATGTATTTTCATTTGAAAGGGTAACAAAAGTTGTTTTAAAAATACACATTGTTAATAAACAAAAGAGCTATATTTTAATAATAATTTGGAGCATATTGGTTCAAATCAGGCTTTAGTAAGTTATGGTCAATAGACCAAATCCTGCTTATCACCTGTTTCTGTACAGCCAGCGTATTAAGAATAGTGTTTACATTTTTTCAGTGATAGAAAAAATATTTGTGGCACATTTCAGTATCTATTTATAAATTTAGCTTTACAGATACACAGCCATGGTTATTTGTTTATATTTTATCTTTGGTTGCCTTCACACTGCAGTGACAGAATTGAGTATCTGTAACAAAAATTATTTGCCTATAAAGGCCAAAACATTTGCTATCCAATCCTTTATGAAAAAGGTTTATTGCCAGGCATGGTGGCTCACGCCTGTAATCTCAGCAGTTTTGGGAGGCTGAGACAAGAGAACCACTTTAGCCCAGGAGTTCAAGACCAGCCTGGGCAACATAGTGAGATCTTATCTCTAGAAAAAAAATATAAAAATTAGCCAGGCATGGTGGCACACATCTGTAGTTCCAGCTACTTGGGAGGCTTAGGCAAAAGGACTATTTGAGCCCAGAAACTCAAGGCTTCAGCCTGGGCATTAGAGTGAGATCTGGTTTCAAAAAAAAAAAAAGGTTTGGTAACCCCTTGATTGCTATGATATCTTTTAGTGAATATCAATTAACAACTGTGTCCATATTAAGTATGACTTTTTAAAATACTGAGACAAATATACTATTCTTTTTTAAAAACAAAAATAGCATAAAATATTAAGAAATTAAGCAAAATATACTATACAGATGAACCGAAACGATGGAGTTTGTATTTGAGCTTTGCTTTTTTAGTTGTGATTAACATTTATGCTTCTAGGAATTTCCTTTATTATTACTTAGGGTGTAGGAATTGATACGCAGATTCAAAGAATCAAAGAAAGATGGTAGGGCTTTTTAAATTTTATAAGTCCTGCAAGATAATTTCCTTAGACAAAATATATTATTTTTTATTAATTAGTATGGATACTTGTTTAAGTAAATGTTCAAACGTCTTCAATAATACCTTATAGCATGTTGTACTTAATGCAATTCCTTTATCATTGAGATAACCTTAAAATTATTTGCAATGTCTGCTGTAGCTATTATTTACTCCTGCTTAACCATTCTTCAGATAAAGTTTGAGATCCAGTTCCAGGGCAGTCAAGTTACTCAGCTCAGGTCACTGTGTTGGATTTGTGGTAGACCTTGGTTTTTTCTTTTTTTAGTTGGAGTGTCTTTTGTCCAGGCTCTAGAGTACAGTGAGTGGCACACTTCTTAAGTAGCTGGGACTACAGGCGTGTATCATGACTCCTGGCTAATTTTTTTATTTTTTGTAGAGACAGGGTCTTGCTATGTTGCTGAGAGAGGAAATAGTTAAAAGTTGGTTAGAAACAATAGCTTAGCTTAACTAAATGTCCTTACTTAACGTTGGCTTCTTATACTATTATTAACATAATATTTGCATTACAATTTTACCCTCCCAATAGACTTTTCTAAAATACTTATAAATAGTCAAGATAAAATAACTTGCGTCAAAGACCCACATACATAATAAAAATTAGGTCTCAAAAAATAGGAGACAAATAAAATATAAATAAAGAACACACCCCCTCAAATTAAAGTAAAAACCATAAACAAACTTTTAACACAAATTACTGTTTCAGACCCCCTCTCTTTTACTAGAAAACTTTATTAGTTAAACTCCTTTCACTCATCCTTTTAATATTCATGTTCCTTAATCTTCATAATTGTAAAACAAAAACCCAAAATTATTAATTTAAACTAACAATAAAATTCAAAACTCCTACAACATTGCCTAGCCTGCTCTTGAATTCCTGGACTTAGTCAGTACTTGACCCCCAAAGTGCTGGGATTACAGACGTGAGCCACTGCACCTGGCCAGAACTAGTTTTTAATGTTTGTTTGTTTTTTTGAGTTGGAGTCTCACTGTGCCCAGACAGGAGTACAGTGGCATGCTCGTGGCCACTGCTGCTCGACTTGCTGGGCTCAGGTGATCCTTCCGCCTCAACCTTCCAAGTAGCTGGAACTACTGGTGCAAGCCACCACACTTAGCTAATTTTTTGGTTTATTGTAGAGACATGGGCTCAGGCAATTCTCTCACCTCCACCTTCCAAGATTCTGGGATTGCAGGTGTGAGCCACCATTCCTATCCCAGAACTGATTTCAGGTAGCAGTATTTTAAGGATTACATTGAATTTTAAATGCAGTCTAGTTGTTATTCAAATGAAATGACATGGTCAATGGCAGTTAAATTTTTTCCAATTGACAGATATGTTAAAGTTATGTGTAAAATTTAACTGATGTTATGATCTTTTTTTTTGTTTTTTTTTTGAGTCTTACTCTGTTGCCCAGGCTGGAGTGCAGTGGCATACTAACGGCCACCACAGCCTCAACCTGCTGGGCTCAGGCAATCCTCTCACCTCCACCTCCCAAAGTACTGGTATTATAGGTGTGAACCATCGCACCGGCTGATATTATAATCTTTTAAAGGGAATATGCAAAAGATATGAATAAGAATAATAGGTCCTTTTTTGAACTCCTGTTTTGGAGACTACAATACACTTCTTCCTGTAACAGCTTTCTTGCTAGTCTTTTGCTCCCTCTGTTCTTTACACAGCAACTAGTTATTCTTTTCTAAAATATCTTTCAGATTGCCACTCCCTTTCTAAATACTTTAGATTTCCCAACACAACTTTAAAAAAACAATTTTTTTAATGTGGTGTCTAAAGCCCTACAAAATGTAGTCCTCGGCAACCTAATTTCCTTTCATCCTATATCTGATTCTCTTTGCTGTAGGTAGTTACACTGACTTCTTTCTGTCTCTTGAACACAGTAAGCTCATTGCCATGTCAGAGCCTTTGCCTCTCCTTCTGCTTAAAATGCTCTTTCCCTCTGTTTTATTGTTCACATCTCAGCTCAAATGCCCAGAGATTTCTCTGGCTTCCCTAATGAAGGCATTTGCCCTTACCCACTCTGTCCCCACTCACCTTATATTTTATTATCTCATTTTATCATCCTTCTAGCACTCATCAGTTACTGAAATTATTTTTTCATTATTTAGTTGTCTTTTTTAATACCCCCTGGGAAAGTAAGCTTAGATTCTAATTGCTTTGCAAGCAGGCAGATGATCCCTAACTACGAATGGTATTGGGCATATAGTAGATGTTCAGAAAAATGTGTTTATACTCCAAAGCATTATAATATAAAAATTGACTTTTTTGGCATTCCTCTTAGGATTGAATTTTCTTCCTATCTGTGTCTTAGAAAGACATCTTTTTTTTTTTTTTTTTTTTAGGAATTGTGATTTATAAACATAAATATTGAGATTATCTAACTCTACCCTTAAGAGAAAGACACCAATAGAATAAGGTTGTTCTTTTTTATGTGAGTCTTCTAAAATAGTTAATAATTTCTCTGTCTTATAGTATTCTATGTATGCTTTTAGAAACTGTTTTTTAGCCTATGTTATATTTTTTTACTCATGGTTCTCTTGTGATATATTAAGAAAAAAAAAGACAAAAGCAAGAACAAGAACCTTTAAGCATTTCTTTAAGAGCATGGGGTTTAATTACAACGTTTACTAAACAAAGGTAATTTTCAGATTTTTTATTTTTTCTAGAATTTGATCAAGTATTTTCTTAATCCTGTCACTTTATCAAAAGGTAAATAATAACTAATAACAGTATTCTTGTTATGACCAACTTCTGCTATTTTGGAGTATAACCGCATCTATATCTTTCAGTTTTTCTGTCCCTCACCATTTTTCTGGCCTACCCTTATGACTAACTCCCTACCTTCTCCACAGCTTTAGGCTAACGGAACAATTTCAAAATCCAAAAGAATAGCAGCGGTAACAAAATCTACCAGAGAATGATGCTACCAACTTAGGATAACGTGTAGCTGTGGTTATGGTGCTACGAAAATAGGGAATGTTCTATAAATTTAAGTTTTCCTTTTAATTTTATGTATTTGTTTTACTTTATAGGCAAGTTAAATAATTTAAAGCATGACTTAAAGAATAGACAATTCTAAGCTATCATTTTATCAGTTATGAATTTTATTTAATTTTCTGCTTACCTCTTTTATTTTCTGTCTGTCTTTTTAACCTTATAGTATTCAGGGTTATTCTAATAAATTTAGTGGAATCAGCAAAGAATTGGCAAGAAAGGAGGGAAAGACTAAATTCGTGAGGGAAATTTGTTAGCAGATCCTAATAAAAAATACAGAAATGTATGCACAATTAACTATGAGGTATACTATTAAATTTCTTTTTTGTCATATCTAGTATTTTTAACACTCATAATGGTAATTATGAAAGCACATTAAAAAATAAATGCTATTTGAATCTTGTCACAATTTAAAATTTTAGGCTGGGCGTGGTGGCTCACGCCTATAATCCCAGCACTTTGGGAGGCCAAGGTGAGAGGATTGCCTGAGCCTGCATGTTTGAGACCAGCCTGGGCAACTTGGCAAGACCTCATATCTGTAATAAATCAAAAAATTAGCCAGGCATAGTGACGTGTGCCTTGTAGTTCCAGCTATTTGGAAGGCTGAGGCAGAAGGATTGCCTGAGCCCAGCAAGTTGAGGTTGTGGTGGCTGGGAGCATGCCACTGCCCTCCATCCTGGGTGACAGAGTAAGACTCCAACTCAAAAATAAAATAAAATTTTAATCCTTTTTATTGTAACTTTAAAATAATTTTTCTTTTTTACCAGATGATTAAGAAAGCCATTAATAATGTTAGAAGAATGACTTCTCATCCAACTCTTCCTTACTGTAAGTTGATAATAATTAGTGATTATTCTTATTATCTCTATTTTTGGTAATTTTATTATAAGAAATTTATGGGAACCTTTTAGTTTCATTTGAAGACAGCATTTATTTGACTTTTAATAGAGTAGTTGCTAGCAAATAACATATTTCAAAACTGGATAAAAATAGAAAAATATATTTTTCTGAACTAATGGTGAATGCTAACTTATTGCAGTACAGTTTTTGGCATTTTGACTGTTTATTTCCTAGTTAACAGATTTTATCTTTGAGTGTTTCTGGATGTCTTAGTGCTAAATTATAGAGAATAATTATTGTTTTAATAATAGGATTGCTGCCAACTTTTATTACATAGACCACAATCATACCATAGTCATTTATTACCTTATCATAATCAGTTTGTATGTCTTTTTTTCAGTTTATCTTTTATGAGACACATTAATAGTAAGCATAGGAAATAGTTGTTAGTAAATTCTTATATTCTACGGCGGAATATATTTGTTTTCAGTTAATCTTCATAGGAATCTCAAAAGCTTCTCTTCCTTCAACCAAGTGCTTAATTAATGGGGAATTTGTTGAAGGTATTGATTCTGGTGGGTTGGAATCAATACTCATGTTGATAAGTGAGTATTCCAAGTTTTTTAAATACTATTTTTATGTTGTGCCCTTCACCAAGTTGTTCTACCACACAGTAACAAGAATAGTGCGTGTTAAGTAAGAAGTATTCATGCCCTTCCAATTTAATGACCTCTTAAAAGACTTTAGAACCTTTACTATGGGGGATATTCCGATAAACTACAGTTGACAAAATCAGGCCCCAGGTATGGTGGCTTATGCATGTAATCCTAGTATTTTGTGAGGCTGAAGCTGGAGGATCACTTGAGCCCAGGAGTTTGAGGCTGCAGTAAGCTATGGTCATGCCACTGCACTCAACCTGGGCAACAGAGCAAGACCCTTCCTCTTAAAAAAAATTTTGTTTCCTTACATTGAATTTATTCAACATTAGAACTGTGTATTTTTTCCACAAGTTTAATGTGAAGTAAGAACTAAAACACAGTCATGAAGCTTGAAGAGTAAAAAGTCCAAATGTATTTTACATATAAAGTTTAAATAATATTTCTCCCACAGCAGGAAATATCTGGCATGACTTAAAACTATTCTTACTCTCCACAATCTGGTTTGGATGTTTCCTGAGATATCAAAAGGATCTCATTTTCTCTCAATTTCATAGCATGTATGTTGATAGGTGAATAGTTTTTAGTGAATATCCTGTACTTCAAGCCCATAATATAAATAAAGAGATCACCTCCCAACTTCAGTGGTGATTAATGAACCTGTTTTCAGAGGTATTAGATATTATCTAGTCACTGCTGTCTTGCAATAAGTACCTTCTCTGTTCAGAGAACTACCATAACTGGCAGATAAGAGACTAGAAAAGTGTAAAGCTAATTAAATTAATCACTGGATTTTTTTCAGCATATCTTTTCATGTTACAAACATGCAGGTAGTATTTTAGTTCAACAGTAAGTTTACTTTAGTTCAACAATAAACACTTTTATGTAGTAAAAACTTTATGAGACAGAATTTTTTAAAAATTAGCCTGAAGTTGAAATATCTCAAAATAGCTGTTTGTTTCTGTTTTATTGAAACAGATCTTAGTCATTGTAAGCCTCTACTTTTTGACTTCTACTCCAAAAAGCTTTTTAGAAGTTGGCCTAATATATTTATAATTTTCTGTGTTGGAAAACACACTCTGTTTCTCTATATTCCCACAAACACTTCTGATACTAGATATGTTAGTTTTTTCCATCCCAAGCCATTCCCCACTCTGAATACCAGCTGTGTGCCTATAATTTAGGTTAATTATGACACTATCTACTTGGAGTTCAAGTCAAATCCCACGAGTTAAGGGCTCAGTCCTACAAAACTGCCCCTCACTACAGGCACCAATTGCAAGTTGTAGGTTGTCACCTATACATCTGACTGACTCACTATAAATCAGAGTTCTCACCACTCACTCCTTGGGTTTAATTTGCTAGAAAGATTCGCATTCAGGGAAACACTTTACTTACATTTACCATACAAAACATGTTTATCATACAAAACATTATAAAGGAAGCAAGTGAAGAGGTATATAAGGCAAGGTCTGTAAGGGACCTTAGCACAGGAGCTTCTGTCACCTGAAGTTGGGGGCATGCTACCTTCCCAGCACATAGACATATTCGCCAACTAAGAAGTTTCTCAGATCTCCTTGTTCAAGACTTTCTATATAACTTAATCTCCAACTCCCTATCCTACTCTTTTCTGGAGATTGGTAGGGTAGGACTGAAAGTTCCAATGCTCTAGGCTGTCTAAGAGACTTAGGATCTAGGGACAAGGACCAAATAAATAACAGTATTTTATTCCACACTGGGTCCTTCTTTTTCTCTTTCAAAATGTTTAATTTATGTTTCCCTTTTCATAAATATTTGTTGAAATCATACTATATGGTAGGCTGTATATAGGCGTAGCTGAGTAAAAGTGATGAGACCATGCATACGTGGTTCATCATTTTACAGCTATCCTCATTCTACCAAAGGTAATTATACTAAGTCTGATTCATGTTCAGCATCTGTCTAGTTTCATTAAACTTATTGACGTAAGTTCAGCAAGAGCAGTGATGGATCATACAGCCTTCTTAAAAGTCTGCTTTGCTGGAATATTATTAATAAAGGATCTCAGATAAGAGATAATTTCTTGTGGCTAGGAAGCCAAGCCAAGGACTTGCCATCAGACTTCACCCCAAGTCTATAGATTTGGGTGCACTCTTCTTTTCTTGAAGTCCTAAAAATATTCTGGGGTTCCTGGTCTGGTAAGGAGGTGATAGTCCTTACTCATCTGTAAGGCAACTGTGTTAAGATAACTATATATGTACAGTTCCAGGCCAACTTTTTTTGTTTTGTTTTGTTTGCCTTATTTACTCTGTAAATTCAGCAGTAGTTGTTAAAACTGGTCGTATCTGATTTTCTTTTTCTTTTCTTTTTCTTTTAAAGATGTGGGGTACAATTCAGGATTAAGTATACAAGTAGTCTTCGTACACACAAAGTTTGGGTCTCCCTTTGGTCCCCACTTTGCCTGGTTTGAGATCAGTTTTCCTGATATTGATATTGTGGCCCCCTACCCCTACTCCCCCGCCTGGCAGTATCCTGCTACGGCCAGTCCCTTTCTTATAGTATTATAGTAAATGTTATGAGTGAGAACATGTGTCTTTGATCTTTGTTTCTGTAATAGATCACTGAGTATGATAGACTCTATCCATCCAAGTTGCTGCAAAGTCCATATGTTTGCCCTCCTTTATAGCTGCGTAATATTCCATTGTGTATATATACCACATTTTTTTTGCCCAATCCAGTTTCAGTGGGCAACTTGGTTAGTTCCATGTTTTTGCTATTGTGAATAGTGCTGCAATGAACATGCATGTGCGGTATCCTTTTTGTAGAATGATTTGAGTTACTCCAGGTATATTCCCAATAGGGGGATTGCTGGGTCATATGGAAAGCCAATGTCTAGTTCTTTTTTTAAAAAAATTTTTAATTTTTATTTTAAAGATGTGGGGTACAATTCAGAGTTAGGTATACAAATGTTCATTATGCAGGTAACCTTGTTGATGAGGT